AAACTGGATAGAATACTATGGGTATGTTACTCGGTATGCAATTGTGAATCTTGGTTGGTTTTCTTGGTGTCTTTGTTCTATCTTATCTGAACGTGGACGGTGTCTACAGGGAGCATCCAAAATCCGGACATGATTTGAACAGAAGCCCTGCGTGTTGGCTTTGGACATGATTTAGACTTTTCAGGATTTAGGCGTTACTTTAGCAGGCTTCCTGCCCAATCTTGACTCTTAAAAAACTCCACGCGCAATTTGTTTTCCCAAGCTCAGGGGCCCAAGACACACCAAAATATCAGACTCCTGATTGCAACATGGTATGGACCGGCATAGTGCAAGGCTAATTGCTGGAATATAGCCGATCTCGCATCTGCAGAGGTTGGAATATAGTCTAGTCATCTCCCAGATGCCTGAGAATCGTTAGGGCTCCAGGGGAATCCGAGCATATCCCCATAATCCGCGTGCAGAAAGGAGGGGCATGAATTCGAGAAATACAATGCAGCTGCCAGAAACATCCTGACTTCAAGATTCTTGTTTCCCCATCCACCTCCAACCCAAGCAGTTTTGGTTGTAGTGGTCCAGATAACAAGAGTGAGGTTGTGGAGGATGTACCGCCTTTTCCTGTAGGGATGCCCCCGAAAAGAGTGCAGTTGCAATGATGAGAGACGTCTTGCAACGCTAAATAGAAGGGAATTGGAAGTATGGGTATTGGGCTGTAGCTGGTGGCCCCTCTCATTTGAAGTCGTTCACGATGTCTCGATCTGGCATGCAAACATCAAAATGCAGCTATCCTCCGTGTATGCCATCTCAAGCAGCTTTCGCCCATGGTCGCAAAATCTGCGCACATTCAAGGTAATTTCATAGTATTTCTCGAAAGTGCCAATATGTCAGGGAGCCTCGACAATCCCGTTGTAATCCCCTGCGCCCTTGAGGTCCCACGTTGTCAGGGGACCATATATCTTGCTCGCCACAAGAAGTCTTCTACTTGTATGCTATGGATGCTGTAGTTCATCCTTCTTTGTGTACTGAGCACCTACCCGTCGAAACATGTATCCCTCGCCGTGGGTTGCGTGTTCCAAGCGGCCTAGAAAATCATTCAGCATGTTCCGAAGCAACTAGCACTGATCCTTGCAAGCTACACAAGCATTCACAATTTTCTGAACTTGGGGGTGTCTTGAACCATGATCCCAGGCATCCTGGTTGGTCAAGGCTTCCAAAGAACATGCCCCCAAGCAGCAAAAAACCGCCGCGACGGGAACTATGCTCCCCCTAACAAAATGTCCCAAGCCTTACACCCTGCCCTGATGATTCAAGAAAGTAGGTCATTGCATATGCAAGTTCCGAGGGCTGGACCTGGGTAAGCCCGCCTGTGAGTGGGGCTGTAGGAGTGGGTTCGCGGTTTAGAGATTGGGGGTTTCAGGGCCTTGTAGGCTTATAGGGCCTCAAGGATCTTAAGATCTCAGGGGTTGGACTTCCATGTTTCAGGGTCTCAGGTCTTGGGCATGGGCAAATCTCAGCAAGTAGCCGCACGCAGGGAAAACATCTGAACATCATGGTGGCCAGCCTTAGGCTCCTTCTCCCTGGTACTGGACCAGGGAAAAGGGAAAGGGTTATAGTATTATAGGGGCTTCCATGACAGGTTCTGTGCTGGGATCCATTCGGCATTCCGCCTGAGCACAAGGTAGTCTTGAGTTGGATCCTCAAATTCGGACTGGGAAGTCGAGTTAAGCTCTCTAACAAGAAAAGCTTTCGGGTACTAGAATTGAACATGGGACCAAATTATGGGAGAGTTCTATAATTTCGGACTCGCTTTAAAGTCTAAGGGGTTCCGCCCCCTAAAACAATAGGGCCGCCAAAAAAAAATTACAATAGGGACACTGAATACGGCCCAAAATCTCTGTCTCCAGTAGTAAGGGTCTGGTGAATAAATTATCAAGGAGTGCTGAGGTCTGGGGATTATCGAATTAAGTATGACTAAAGGTCTGGTGAGTAAATTAGAAAGGATTTCTGAGGGCTCTGGGCTGGCTTCAGGTTCCAGATTCGGTACGTCGATGGATTCTGGATCCCTGTGGCGGCTGAGCGGGGAAAGGTTTAAAACATGTTTCCTTTTAGAACCCTGTATAAAATCTTGAAAACCCTGCACGGGCCCAAAGGTCCCATGTTAAAGAGGGTCTCCAAACATTGGTACTTACTCAGAGTCCCAGGGTCTGCTGGACTACCCCCCTTGCTGAAATGATTTTGGATTGGATTCGTAAGGTTTAGAATTGGGTGTTTAGTAAAACTTGCTGGCTTCAGGCTCCACATTCGGTGGGTCAATGGATTTCAATCTCTGTGGCGGCTGAGCGGGGAAAAGGGGTTTCTTCTTGGAGCTTTTCTGAATTTTAAAATGCTTATTGTACGAAAAATGTAGTTGGCATCTTCCTATATTTTCAGGGCCCAAAACCGAAACACATTAAACAGGGTCTTCTCAACAGTGGCCAGACTTTGCATACGTAGCGGCGAAAACACATTAAGCAGGGTCTCTTGATAAGAGTGAATGCAGCATTAAGAAGTCTTATACCGCGTCTGCATTGACTGGATCCTGCAAGGGCTGAAGTTGTCATGGTGGGATATTAGCATTCCGAGGCTGCTGTTCCTGAAGAAGTCGCGGCTTCAGCAATTTCCTGAACACGGCTCATGCGAGCCTCTTCTACAGAGGAGTAACGCAACACCACCGGTACCTGCATACCTCCACGAACACACAAACCAGAGAACGTGGTAGCTTGTGGTCCAAAGGCAACAACAGGCAAGTCCGAGCTGCAACAGCAGAGGCCAAAGCCCTGAAGCAGGAAGAGTTTCCAAAGTTCACAAGGCTTGCTACGGAAGAGTAGGGAATGAAATGGGATACACAGGAACCATCACGGGTTATATAGGGACTGCTATAGGGATGTTTCCCTCCATTCCGGACGTCCTACCACTAAGATAGGGGCATGACTGTGCAATCTGTGGATGGCGGCTCGCTCAACCAGGCGCTTGATGATGCCATAATCCTGGAAATCAATGCCAAAGCTGAAAAGAACATCAAGAAAACAGGGGAATGGGGCTCGTCATGCAGGCTCTTTCCCTCCGTGTGTGTGCGCGTTTTTTTTGGGTGGGGCTCCTCGCTGAACTCCCATCGTTGGGTAAGGTAAGGATGCAGGCAGATGTTGATTCAGAGAAATGCCGGACAAGCAATTTGATCTTATCCTGAACCCAGGTGCTTTTTCTTGCAGTGGCGGGAGCACCTGTCCTTGCTTAAACTGAAAGCGGCAGCCCGCGTTTACTTGGTTGTCCACAGTTGGGGTAGGCTTGTCGCGCCACTGCAAAACCAAACTCTGAGCAGCCACCTACCCTTTTTGACATCACGTAGCACCAGCCAGTCTTCCGGACAGCTAAAACACCTCCAGCTAAAAAGGCAAGATTGCGGGGTGATGCAGAGAAGTGCTCAGACCTTCAAGTCCGAGCCGCTGTCCTGAGGCGGTTAAGCAGGTTTCGGAGGCTCACTGCGCAACCTGCGTGGAGAAGGCTGTCTGTTATTAGAAAGACTGGAGCCCCTGCAAGCCCTAGAACCGACTCGGGACATACTGATGATAACCAATACCCAAAAAGACTCGTGACTCGCAAAATCATCAACGTTGCCAAAGAAAAATCGGAGCTTGCTGGCATCTATACCGTTCATAAATACGGTAGAAATTTCTAATGATAGGTAGGGTCGGGGCTGCTACCAGTTGGGCTATCCAGAGAAGCACCATGCTTGCCTGAAAGAGGGTTCTTTGAGGTTTTGTGGCTGCAGACGGGTCAGGGTTGAGAGCTTACAGATCCGCAGTCGGAGGTTGAGGGCCGGAAAACGGATGAGGGCGAAGCGGTTCTCAGGCCTCTACACCAAAGAATTCTACTACCCTCCTGATCCAAAACTTGAAACGCCATCAATCTCCTTGATGCTTCCCCAGTGTGGTGAACCTCCATTCTCCTGAAGCTTCAAGCTATGCTTCAAGCCATTTTACTGGAGCAAGGGCAGGCGGGGGATCTGGAGTGCAAATTCTCATTCATTACAGCTTGGCCCCAGAACCTATACCCCTTGTATTACTCATATTGGTGTGGGTCGAATCCTTTGTCTCGTTCTGGACGCACTCTTCATGGGCTTGATGGGCACGGGCTTTGTTGCAGAACCAAGCCTTTGTTACAGACCTTTGTCGAGGGAGAGCCGCCCAACGCTTGTTACAAGCCCAATATCTCTGGGCCACTCTCAAATAATTTCCCCCTGCACAAGGTCCCTGCCCTGTGAATTTGGGACCTGAGACTTGGTAGGAACACGCATCGCAGCAGATGACAGTAACACTGCCGTAAGAGCCGCCCAAAAACATGCGGCAAAAGGCCTCATTAAGTGTCAAAAAGGCCCGGGGGATCTGCAAAGGAATCTTGTGATGACATGCAGCATGTATCAGCCTGCACGTGGATGACCTAAAGCCCCGTTTCATACATTACAAAATCATCCTTCCTCCTACTCTGCCACGAAGCCCGAGTAGCCTGAAGCCCTGCACAAGAAATCCTATTTCCAAATACAAGGGCAATATGTTGCAAAATCTGCCGGGCCTTCGACTGTTCACCCGGAATCCTTGAGCTCTACCTTTAGCCTGCGTCCTCTCCTGAGCTTCTCACACACAAAAACTTCTCTCCACACTTGTTTCCTAAGAAGTTTGAATTATCGAGCCAATGCCTGAAATTTCAGCCAACCCCCACCAGTTCCGTCACCATCCCTTTGCCCCCGCATAATCCCAGTACCGTTTGGGGCCGCTTGCAAACCCATGGGCTTCACCCTGAAGCCCCAAACTTTACAAACCCCTGGGTTACAGATCTGCAAACTGAAGATCTTGCAAGTTGCATGCAATCCCAAAGCTCCACGAAAATCTCGGCTACACACAGAATCAACTTTTATGAATGTTGAACCGTGAGATCCCAAAACAAGCTTGAACCTCCAGGATCCCGGCTCCGTGCTGCTATCCTCGCAAGGCGTCGCCGGTGCCTCCCACTTGAGGAAGGTTCGTGGCTTTGGGGTGTTTTAATGGATGTTTGTTTAGGACTTGCGGTTGGGGCTTTGAAACAACATGCAAACTGGATCCGAAATGAGCTGTCGACACCCCACCGCCTCAAGCAACACCCTGGGGCTCTACGTTTATGAATAGTACCAACACTAAGCCCTCAGTCAAGTGTATAAACAGGACCCACCTCAGGCTCATTTGGCTCACTAGATCTATTTGCCTTCGACAGAAGGATGCCCAGCACTCTTGTTTTAGGTTGGACCCATGATGGTTCGGATGGGGGGCCTGCCTTGTGCCCACAACAAAAAACCAGCCATGTCCACAACGTTATTTGTTGTACGGTGGCCTATTGCCGCCCTGCCTTTGCCGAGCTAGTGCCACGCTAGACGCTGGCCCCACAAAGGGGATTTGCTGGATTCTGGTGGGGGACCGCCTCATAGCGAAGACTCACAACTGAGTAGTCCAAGGTTCGTGCCCTCTCTACTTTTTTTTTCTACAAAACCTTTCCACTGTCGGAAATACAGTCCTAAGTGAATTTCCAAGAATTGATAAGCGTTCCCAAGCACCAAGGTACTAGAATCCTTATTGCATGGATCAACCAAACAGGCACACATCTGTTTTGCAAGAAGCCGCTGCTACTCCGCATGATGCTCTGCAACCATCCCTCTGACAATGCCTTTGTTAGCCTCCATGCCATCCTCGTGGAACCCCGCTTTGCACAGTTGTCGGAGGCCTTCGCAGCTGCGGCCTACCAGAGCTTTTGAGGCGCTCGCCGAGGTCCCAGACGTTCACCACTCCCATCTCAGGGTGTTGAAGGCTCGGTGGGTAGGAGGCTTGGGGTTTAAAGCCCACACTCGCTCCTGCTGTGGTCAACGCCCCTTTGGCCTCAAACAAAAAACGATCGCTAAATGGAAGTTTTTCAAAGACCTGGGTGATAAATGAGTATTTGTGCTGGTGGCCCACATGAGGGGTGATATGGAGTCATGTTGCAGCACCCCCTTCTCTCAATCTAATCAGACCAGCGGGCTCTAGGTTGCCAACAGGGAACCCAAACCATCTTGCAGCTATGAGGAGATGAGCCTTGCTTTTAACTTCATGGGTGGGCCCTCCAGACACCAAGGAGGGGCATTAAGTGAGAAGGCCCCTGAATCCTTGGATCTAGATTTGGTTCTATGAGGTTTCTTTGCAGGGAGGCCCGCTCCTGTAACAAGTTCAGGCGGATGAATCGGGATCCCTAAGGAGATAATACGCTGGGATGCTGTAGCATACTCAAAGAAGCACTAGGGCACACATACTATTTCAGTCATGACGCTATGTACAAGAACATGAACACTTTGATTTCTCGAAAACCCACCAAGCGACGCTTCGTCAAATAAGCATGGGCATGTGGTGGGTCCTGTGCCGTACCGACAAGGGCTTCGGGTTTCAGTTTCAACGTATTTTCGAAAGGCTAAGAGCGGCAAGCCAGTGAATGCTCTAGACGCTGAAACCCTGATACAAGGCCCATGGTTGCTTTCCTTCTAGAATGCCTGGACAAGCTAAGGCGTCGGCAGAATGATGTGAAGATTCCTCTAACCTGCAGGTGAACCAATGTTTGCCAAATCGGGCACGAGATAGGGTCGAGGGAGGCAGAAGCTTTGGCGTATGCTTCCCAGCCGAGTAGTGGTTGGCTCACTTGTGGCTATCAACATAAGTATCATAATGCTCAACCCGAAGCCCTACTGAACCTGTCAACCCGTAACACAATGACACTGTTAAGAGAGAACCCCGCTGGCAAGCCTCCTCCTTGACTACTCAAAGCCTCAGAATTTCTTTCCATTAGAAGATTTCGGTGGCTTCCAAAATCCGGTGAAGCCTAGGCACCTGGAGATTGAATCTATATGTGCAGATGTGTATGCGTGAGTGCACCTGCGTGTCTACACAAATGCTGCGCGAAGCCCCTATGTTCTCTTCAACTTTGATAATGGGGTGCCTGTACTAGTTACTAGCTCGTAGTGTGGAGCAATTCGCCTGCTTCATGGTGCTACAATCCTACTCAACCTCTTGCTATGGCACATACAAGGTAGACTTTGCTTCGAGCATCAGCATCAGCATGTGCTCACCAATGCTTTGGAAATGAGACGTTCTCAAAACCAATTCGGCTGATGTTAGCTTGGAGGTGGACAGGCCCAGCGGCCTGATCCTTATAAGAATAACCCTCATCCCTATCAAGCTCTTCTCTCGCAGGACACATGGACAACACCGCAAGGCGCAACCCCCGGAGATGCTGTCCAAATACGTTCGTGAGATAGAAACGAACTGGGTGATTCTGTGTCCTTTTTGCAGACCCTTGGAGGTAGCAAAAATATTCATAGAAGGTACGTACAGCTAATGCGGGCAACCCTAAGCCTACAGAAATATCCGCTTTGAATATCTTTGAAGGTTCGGGTCCCAAAGGACGCCAGACTGAATACTGCCCACTGTAAGTCGAAGCCCTTTTGCATCCAGTCACTTGCTTGAAGCAGGGACTCTGATTAGCCGCCATTCCACACCAAGCATCGCAACGGAGAGTGAACTCAAGATACCCTTTTTGAAAGCCCTAAACTCGCAGCCGAGGCACCAAATGTTGACCGTTCTACTGAAGTTCAGGACTCGCTTCATAGTCATCTCCTAAGCAGAGTCTACGGATCACCTTCCCCTAATGCTAACCACTGCGCTGCCAACCGAGTTAAATGTACACCCCATGTTTAAGGTCCGGAAGGGAAGATGTCATTTCATGGGATTCAAAACGAGTCAATGGCAGGGACTGGGATTGGCTTGAGGAACTCTTTACCCAGAACACGTGCAATACTAGAGCCGGTTTCAAATGTCAAGTGGGATGAGTCAGAGGCCAGCCATTCCAAACCTTTTGACCTTTTCAGTAAAGCTCACGCCTAGTTTTGCTTTGGCTTTTCCCGCACGAGCCGCTTGCAGCGTAAGGGCTTGCATAAGGGGCCTCCTTGCTTGCTCTTGGTAGAGGGCGCCACAGAAAATGGCCCTTTGTCGAAACAGCGTCTTTTCTGCCGAGGCACATAATCAAATCCGAAGAAACGAACTGGATCCAAGCCTGAAGTACATTTCGATACTTGAGCTGCCAGGTAGTGAAGTAGCGTGTTGCACATAATATTTCTACATTACCAAGAAACTCGGAGGATGAAGGGGAAGCTGTATAGCTTGCGTTCTTGCCTTACGCGCGTACTTCCAGGAGTGGCTTGCCCCCTAGAATGTGAGTCGGAGAGCAGAGTGATATTCAAATTCCTTGAGGCCAACTATTCGCGCGTCTACTCAGAGGGTCCGGTACCTAAACCCGGCGGTTCGAAGTGCGAAAAAAATGCCTTTCGGGAGCTGAAGCCCAAACAATTGCGACCTTGGACCCTTAGGGCAATCTGCCGTGAGTGTAATAGCGATCGCTCATCCACCACAGCTCCCCGTATGCAAATGGAGAAAATGTGTCACCTCACCCGCGTACATGCTCTAGACGAAATGAAGTATGCCGGACATGATTATCGACCGCTACATGGGGACAGGTTAGAAGAACATGTCTTTGTATAAGAAGCTCACGGTACAAAGAATGTGTAGCAATATGTGAGGACGTGCTGACGCTACGCTCCTGGCTTAATTGAAGCTGCACCAGCAACGCCCAAATACAAGTTTGGCTTAGCTTTCGTCAGGGTCTTGACCCTCCCAACCAGGTGATGCGAGTGGCCCATCTGCTATGCATGACCCCTTTATTGAGCCACGGAAGATTAGTAAGAGGGAGTCCCTCGAATAATGAGATGACACTGAACTGAAGGAAGAGTCAGAGGATTTTCCCAGGTTAGAAAGACCTCAATCTTGCACGCCTTAACCCTTAACAAGGAGAGTGGCCACGCTCTTTCCGCACGAACTTCAAAGGGCTAACGAATTCCAGCGCCGGGGTCAAGATGCGTACTCTTGGCCTGGGCAGGGTGACGACTCGGTCGCAATAGGGAGATAGTTTGTGCGCAAACTTCAAACTTTGCAATGCAGGCTTCGACCCTCCTGGACCCTACTCGAAATACCCGAGACCCTAAATCCTGAAGGCCAATTATTAGATGCAAAGGGCTCCATCTATACATAGATTCCGGCTTCAGGGTGTTGGGCACACTTCTGCACCCTGCTCCTAGTCCACATGGATATTTGTGACCACCGCAGTACCATGCCCATCATTTGTGACCACCACAGTACCACGCCCATCAGCAGCATCACCATCACCACCACCATCATCATCACCACTTTTGACCGGTGCTGCCATGATAGTCCTGGCTGCAGCCATGGAAGCGAAGACAAATGTTCAGCTAGCTGGTGTCATTACCATGACCGTTTATCGACATGACGATTGCCATCAAAACCATCGCACTGCACTGTGACTACCTCGACGTCAAAAGTCTCAGATATGTTAAGGCAAAGGTTGGCATTTCCGCAAGGACCTTGAGGGACGTTTTTCTGGCAACTTTTTTGAAAACCTTCACACAGTTTAGTCCGAATCGACATCCTTGGGAGGCCAACCCACGCCTACAAGACTGCGGACCAAGTGACCGGGATTGCGCGCAGTACTCCCAATCAAACTGGCCCAACGTTGGCTTCGAGGCCCTGAGTAAGCGCTTCCCCCCGCTTAAATACAACATGGGCTCCCAGAGTTCACAAACATCATGTCTGCCCCCCAGGCGGCTTTTAAAAGGACCGAGACAAAAGTCAATTAGGGCTCGCATCCACTGAATTACGGGGCGTTCCTAGCATGACCCTCAGGAGTTAGGGATCTCCTTGGTTTCCAAGATCTAAATTGTCTTCGAATGGGCTTATAATGAAATTCATACGAAAGCTGACTGTGAATTCGATTGCTTCTATTGCGATTGTAGACCGTGTTAGTTAAATTGTAATTAGATGTTACTTCGATTTCAATTGATTTTAGCCGGATTCCAAACAGGCTATATGCTTAGATTTTAATTGAATTCTAAATAGGCTCTAATTGATGTGATGATGTGCTTGCTGATTATTCTGCATGGCTTGATGTCTATAATTAATACTTCAAGTAGATTTCAATTGCTTTTACTTCGCTGTTATTACGATTTAGATTTAATCAGGCTCATTGAAGCTGCTTGGATGTTGCCTGCTTGTAGGTGACACGGCAGCTCCGGCAAACTGAGGCTCTCCTGCATACCTCAAAACTCCTCAACAGCTTACTCCTTAGCATAGGACTAAAAATTGTACCGGTGACTCCAATTTACCGCCGACAGCGTACTCCCATTCCTGGTGGTTGAAGCTACTAAACTTGTAGGCAGATGGACTTAGAGCTAGGTCTCAGCTGACTCGAGGCGCCTATCGTCCAAATTGCACACACCGCGAAGCGAGAGACCAGAAACCTGGAGACATGTTGTCGAGGCTCAAAAGTCAGCATGGCTGGCTCAATGGCTTCAGGTCTATGTTACACGCCCTTTCGACTGTCTGCCAGAATTTCATGGGGGTGACAAGGTTTGCCGAAGCATTGTTTGGCCTGGTGAGGCCTGAACAGGCCTTTTAACAAGGCAGATAAGAGTAAGCATTCTATCCATTGCGAGTTTACACGGCCAGATTATGAACTGGTATGGGCTAAGCGTCACTGAACCCTTGAGCCTAAACTCTAACCCCTAAAGCCAATTGTCCTCTTCAGGGTCATGCACAAATGGAATATTGGCTCAAGAAAAGTAAAGGGCAGGTAGGACGTCGGACCTTCGGAATAACCGAGCATCAGCCAAACGAAGATTCGGATAGACTCCAGTCCACAACTAGGTAGGCATGTTATGCCACACTCGTGTTGACCATAGAATATCAGCTGATTAAATCCATAACCCGAAAGCCGAAACGCAGCAGAATCTTGACGTCCTACAGTCCTTCAATCCTGGCGCGGGGTTAAGGGGTCCAGGCTTAACATCCCCTTACACCAGCCAATGCATATTGAAGAAGGGATACGGCTGCTAAGGTTCAACTTGGAAAACCCTTTGCCAAACTTGAGTTAAAAAGTCATACTTGCAAGCACTCAATGTCACATCCTTCTCTTTCCTATTTCAAGTGGTGGCTTCTTCAGTAAGTCTCGCCGCTGGGCAGAGGGCACGGAAGCCCTACACCCTGAAAAACAAGGCAAGATTGGCAAATGCGGCCGTGCAAGGCTTATCACTCGTGTTGGCCACGTGCCAAGACGCATCTTTTTGTGCACATCAACATTTTTCGGGTCCAAAAAGCGATAAGTGTTTAACACTCTTGTCTACATCTTTACAGACAACGCCTATGATGAATTTCGGCCCTTCAGCTATGGTTTTGTGTGATTTCGGGCAATTTGTGCTGCCAAAATCGGGGTGGACAATGAAAGAAAGCGCTTCGCATGTTTGAGACGATTTTGCTTTGGTCGCGCGTTCGTTTGGGCAAATGTGCATTTTCCTGCTTTGGTTTATTTCATTTTGAGTTGGTCGTTTTCATTTTTGCTTCAAGGCCACGCGTGCGAACCACTTTGAGAAAAAGAAGGTTTGGACTATTACTTTGTTGATGGAGGAGTATGCCGGGGCCTTAATCATGCCACCGTGTGACATGACGTTGATCTGTTGAGAACCATACTGGTGCAAAGCATTCCTGAAAGCATAACCCTTCAAGCCTTGAACCTCATATACTTCCCATACAAGCTGCTCAGAGGGTCCTTTTCGAACCAACTTTGGGCAGCGACAAGATCATCCAAATCGCGCTAAGACCACGGCAAAACAAGACTGATCATGCACATTCGTCTACAATAGTAAAGTGTAAGTGTAGACAAATGCGCCGCTTCCTCAAAAACATGTCGAGCGCAGCATCCATCCCCAAAGCCGCACGCATCTACGGGGCTCCTTACAGGAAGCTTGCCATACCTGTGGACACGACCAAACATCGTGCGTTCCAAATCCCCGCCCACCTCCCCCGAACCCTGCAAAACTCCAAACGTCCAAAAGTGGCGACCCTTCAACGGCCGCATTCGCGAAAGCTACCAAAAACAACATCGATTACTGAAGGCCTGCTTCTTGTATCGTGCAACTTTTGCTCCGCTTTAGCTTGGGAGTACGGGCTCGGTTCGCACATGAAAGCCAGAACTTGTCTGCGTCTGCTAAATCATTTATATGTGCCTTCTTAGCCTTGTTGTTCGCAATGGCACTTGACACTTGTCCTGAAAGTCAGCTCTCGCAGTTAGGGAGAGGTTATAGCTGCCAGGACCCTGGGATCACCATACGTCTTGTACTGGTTGAGATGCACTTGAGCAGGTGTTTGTTGCCCAAGCATGTTACAAAAAAATGTTGGAGGCACCCTATGACCCCGATATATCACTAGGGCCCAGGGTCCCGACGGGCACATCTACACTCCTTGACGCGTCCGCAAATTTGACGTGCCTCCAGCTGGCGAACGATGTGACAAGCAAGCTGACTTCCGAAACTCCTGCCAAGGGGTTTTGAATGACTCTCAGCCTGGAATGGCAGGAGACAGCCCAGCAATTTCATAGACCCTCCCTGGCTTTCTTGTTGAGGTCCCTGTTGCAGACTGTTGCAGGAGTAGAGAACGAGTAAGGATCTTGGATTCGACTATTCCAAGGGGCTAAATTTGGAGAGAAACACCTACCTGTGAGGTTTGGGTTCGCAAAGCCGCAAAGCAGTCCATTCTGAGGAGATTTGAAGCTCGTTGCGGGCTTTCACTCAGGACTCACGCCCACCTGCTTTGGAACAGTGAGAATTCAGATTTGTGCATGTACTGTGTAGGTACCGTATGACGGTTTGCTCTTACGAAGGTTCAAACTGAAGCCGGCTACGCCGCCTACGCACGGTTCTCCCTTGGAAGCCGATTATCTCACCTGGACAAAATACCTGTCTGATGAGCAACTGGAGCACATGGACGGAATAAATGATGGTCACCAGTCAGGTGTCGCGGTTTCATGATCTTCCCACGGTAGATTTCCGGGATATGACAACACCACTCTGTTACATCTGGACTTGCTTTGAAGCTAGATGCAACTGGAATCCCGTAAACCAAGCCCCCAAGCCCCAGTTGCAGCCGGGCTTCCAGCCCACGACCACCAACCGTGATGAATCACAGCACCTCTGCGGTGATCACTCTTGAAATCTCCCCATGCAAGCTAAGCTCGCGAAAGTCCTATGTCTGAGATCAAAGCTTGAAGCGTCTTGCGCCAGAGACACCCCATGTCAGGACCAAACCCGCTGCTTACTGTAAATGCGCCTATATCCTTCCATCGTATGCACCCTTCAAGGATGAAGCTTAATCATCGCAAGCATCAAACTAGGCCAAGATGCGTCTCCCGCAAGACGTGCGAGAACCAAGGGGTGGAAATAGCACTTTGAGTCACTGAGAGGAGCCCATGAAGCCTGGAAGCTTCAGGGTTTAGGCAGGATTAACCCTGCATCCGCAGGCAGTGCCACCGGACATACTGATAATCTTCCTAAGATGCTACGGAATTCCTAGAATACCCCTCGATGCTTGGAGGGGTTCTCTGGGCCGGGGGGATTTTGTTTTTAGTCAACATGTCCTATAGACCGCTTTGAACCTGAAGGAAAGAACCTCCAGTGATGCCGGTGGACCCCTTCTGGGGTCCGAACTCTGACAGACTTCCCAAAGGTGTGTCTCTATGGTACATCTGTGATGGACAGGTTTGTAACTTAACCTGCCTTTGCTGAATCTCTTACACGGGGATTATCAGCCTGGCAAAGGAAAACCATAGTCCAGAGCCCAGACTGAGCCTTGCACATACAAATCCAGACTGCGCAGCCCAATTTGTGACTGTTGAATTCACAAATCCAAACTCGGAGCGTCGACTGGCAAAAAGCTGCTAAGTTAGCGGGTTCCTGGCTTCATGGAAAGATCTCCTTTGGCTACATTTCTCTGACAAGGCATAGACACACATTGCCTTGTAAGTGCTACTCATGTGTCTATGACAATAAAAAGGCTCAGTTTCAGAAGCTTTCGGGACTCTTTGGATATGAAAGTTGCAAAGCAATTCCTGGTCTCCAGTGGTTGGGTTCAAGTGATCTTGGTTCCAAGTGCTCCCACAAGTGTGCAACCAAAAGGCCAAGACTGCGTGGGAATTTGAAAGACGCAGAAAATGCTGAAATCTGAAACATCCAGATACTGTCAGCACCACACTGCTCCTCCCGTCCATCAGGGCCCAAACCCTGCAAATCTCGCAGTTCGTACTGCCCAAACAATCACCACAAACATAGAAAGAACTACTCATCCCCATTAGACAATACCCTGAGGAGATGCATAATGCATGAGACCTTAGACCTTCACCTTTGGAACCCCTTTACCGCCCCAACCGCGCTCAACTCCAAAAGCTTGAACCCTACGGAAGCGGCGTTGCCTTATCTCATCTGAAGAATCCACGCTCCAAGCTTGATTGGCTGACAGCACCCTGAGCAGCGAGATCTTATAAGACACAATCACACGTCAAGGTTGCAAAAATCGCCCCGCGGAGAACAAGCGTCCAGACTCTGTTCGCAAGCTGCAGACGTTGGAGCAGATCCATATCCAGAGCATCCGTGCCCAAAACAGAACAACGTTCATTCCCAAGAGCATGTGCTGACCAGATCATCCATGCCCACACCCAAACAACGCCCATTCCATGGAAAGCATCCGCTGACCAGAGCATTCATGCCCAAACTGTAATAATGCTTCTCTTGTCAAAAAAGGGGGAAAAGATTCTTACAATCCCGAAACTATGCTCCGTTCAACAAGTCTCCTGAACATGTTCAGGCAAAAACCTAGCAGCCTAGCAAGCGAACGCGACAACATGTCCGAGGCTGCGCATGCACGGGACATGCAAATCCCCTGCAGTTGCCAGTGCTTTTCAGGATGACGCGAAGATTGAGGACGCTACGCAAATGCTACTTACACTGGCAAGCGTCACGCTTGCTCACATCCTCATGTTCAGAACTTGTTCAAGAGAAGCTTGGCCAAGGACACTTTCGCAGTGCGAAGATGAGCATTTGGCTATGATGATGAGCCCAAAACAGCCTCCACTACTGCCTCCGCTTATGGACTTGAAAATCATCGCGCGTTTGTTTCCGAAAACATGAGCCAGTTGAAAAGAGCCTATACAGACTAAATTTCTTCCACGTGCCTGATCGCTTGCGCCTGCTGGCATTTTCCACACTTCCATAAAGTCTAAAAACAAATTTTCCACATGATGGGCACCTGTTCCAGTAAGGCATGTAGTGTCTGGAGGGTTGAGTAAACTGAAGCAGAACAATTGCTTTGTGAACATGGCGTGGTCGTGGACAGGTCTTTTGACTACAGCGAACACACAATGTGAATCTAAACCCTACATTGCATGGGGATCTGGGGGTTCGCCCCCCCCCCCACCCCCCCACCGACCGGGCCCCTCCTCCTCAGGGCCTCCCTTCTCCCTCACAGGCTCTCGTATCGGGCTCCTCCATTTTCCTTGCCCAAGGTTGGCATTCTGGCATAGACCTCTCCATGCTGCCTTTGTGGATCCTGTACTTAAGAGAATGAAGCAGCGCTAAGAAACCATGATTTTAAAGTCATGTCGAATGTTTTTGTGAAGTCCAACAACGTGGGCTCGTATTCCTACGCGTTCTGGATATGGCGGGGAGTGTAGGTCTCTGCAGGAAATTCAGAGCTTGCGTACAGGGTCTTTGTTTCGGGGTTGGCGGTCTGCTGGGACTTGGATTCCAGATTCCATCCTGAGACTCGAACGTTAAACTTCAGATCCTTCACCTGTGACTCTCTCAGAAAGGAGTCATCCATAGACTGTGTCAACACTATTCAACTGCATGGAACTTCGCTGTAGCGTCCAGGATTGCCGCAACACCGGCTGAAGGCGCTTTCAGCGTGGCGCATTAACAGGACCTTGCACGGAAGCTTTTCAGGTCTTGGATAAATTCCGTGGCACCCTGAAGCCATCACGGACCACAATGTGACAGCCCGAAACCCCGGCAGCTTACCCTTGCCCAGTCTGTGGCTCATCCTGAGCCTGAGGCCCCGAGCCCCAAGCGAAGCACGCCCAAAATACTCAGCCAGCCACTGTGAACCACTAAGGCGCTAAACGCTGCAAGCTTGCTGAGCCCCGGGCCGCGCCAACGCGTCGAAGCCGACATTCCGCTCACACATCCGAGTCGACCCGCTGAAGCCCCAGATCAGGAACCTGTGAGGCTGCTGGGGGTGTTTACCATGAAAGCACCAGAATGTCCTGCCAGGTTTGATGTTGTGTTGTAGTATGATGGGTGACGAGTTTCGTTGGTCAGCCGGCGTCCACTTCGAACAGTTTTCTATACAACCGGGGCTAAACCTTCAGGTGTGAGAAGTTTCTAACCTCCCCGGTTTCCCGAGGCTTCTGGTTCAAGGTTCAAGGCTCAGGAGTTTCTAAGCTTCTCGGTGCTCAGTGCTTGGGACATTAAAATTAACTAGTTGAGAACAGTAAAGGTCTCAGGCACGCGAACCTACGTGAAAAGAAATGCTTTATTGCGTGCACATACCCGAGGCTTCTAAATGCCGGCTATCAGTACCTCCACTCTAGCAACTTGCGGCTCTGCAGTGCATGTTGGCTCCTGTGGACAATCACGCCCAGGCAACTGAACACTTTCATACATGTCCGAGTTCCCTGCACTGTAGGTCGACAACTTTGCTTCACATATAGACTAGACTTGAAACCTGCGTATTGCGAGCTCCTGCCAGACATGTGACCTGGACCCTATAGAAGCCCCAAACGCCAGAACAGCCGTAATACCGCATACCTACAGTTCTCATTGGTCCACGCCTGAGGCCCGCGGAGTCTGCTGGTACATGGCAAGCGCGGCAGCGAGTCGTTAGAGGCGACACGGGCACCCTGCCCGGGGCCCCGGGTCTGCTGCAGATTTGGAAGGTACCAAAAACACTGGAGCACCGCATCACTAAGCGTCGAGTTCCCGTAAGGCGAGACAAGCACAATAAGCTCTGCCCCGAGTTTGCAAGCTGGCACATCATGAAGATGTAGCCACTAGCGCATAGCTTTTTGAATCGCCAACATCTCCGCACATTGGGCAAAGGCATTCCAATTCTGTCCTGGCTGAGCAAGAGACGTATCTGCAACATCTACTTCTAGTTCTGCATGCTCTGGGCACCTTCAAAGGCTACTCAAAGACGAGGTCTGCTCGAACAGCACAGGCTCCTGGACCTGTGGCCTGACGTCTGCCCGGAGACAGGGCAACATGCGTTACCATGGCAACTGTCCACAAAAGCAGATCGATTCGCAAGTCCTTAAATCAAGGAATGCGTTTTGTAAGCCAGGATGCCTTGCCTTCATCAAGAGTTGCCCAAACGACACGCGCAATGTCAGGTTGGGTCCCTGCACTTGCTTGGAGGATTTCTTTCTGCAACCGGTCTTTTGCTGGAGACATGCAGCCAGACTACAAATTTAAGGGTAAAACGAATGGGGTCGGCAATTGGTTTGTGGGACGGCTGCGAAGGTGGTGGAATCTCAGGGCCAAGCAACTGCAGCTGGCACATTGTGCTCCCACGGCGGGCATTTGGGCTCAGCACAGACGGTGGCTAGAAAACCAACGCCGGGAACATGCTCACGATTTTTGGTGCAGAGAAGTCTAGAAGCTTTGCTTCAAGGCCATGCATACACAATTCAGGGCCTGCCGCCCAGTAATGCAGCATCATTTGGACTGCGGACATGTGGCTTAGGGGCAAGGGTAGCAAAGGTTTCACATGAGCTCTCGAAGACATTAACGCGGGCTCTGGCAGGTTATTGAGCAAAGTATTGAAACCATAGGCCCCTCTTACCGGGTATCTTTCCTCCACACATTAAGCTGCATCTTTCTGCTGTTCGCTGTAGGCGCTCCTCGACATTAAGTTTAAGGTTTTGATGGCAGAAAGGACGGATGCAACATGTGATGGAGTCGCCCAGAGCTATGTACTGCAACGGCCTGGGCGTAAGCGCAGATAAGGGCAATTATGTTTCCAGCGGTAGGCTTGCCCCTGGCAGGAGAAAAGCTTCTTGGCACAGGCAGCGCCAACAACAGCGAAAACATCATCAGTGTCACCTTTCCTCTAGCCTTGGCACCTGGGACATAGAAACCTTGATAAGCTGCGCGGCTTCCACCATGCTTTGCCACCATAGTAGTGCACACATTGCACGGTAACAAGTTGTGCCCAGGATATGTGGGCTGCAAACGGCATAGAATCATGAGACCAGCCTTTTCACTATTTCGGCTGGCCTACACGCGGATTCCCCAGCAACGGCCTTCAGGAGGGCCCGGAAGTTAGGGAAAGATAGACGATGGCTCCTTAATAGCCCTCACTATGGAAGGTTTTTTGCGAGGCTTGACATCAAGTGAAGGCTGAATCGCACCAACAACTCTTGTTC